AAGATATGATTTATTTATATTATTCCAAAATAGATGAAACTTGACTTCTTATTTTTGAAAGAATGGATTTCATAGAAAATAATGGCTAGTTTGCTGCTGAAACATAGTACTTATGATAGAGTATTGAGCTAGTCTGTGAATTTAAAAAACACAATTTTAAGACAAAAATTGCAAAATGGAAAATGACTAGGACTTTTGGATAAAGTATGAATTTAGAGAATTTGAAACATGTCACTCAGTGTAATTGGTTTATTAATATGTAAAAAACTGTTTTTGATTTTCATTTTTGCCACGGGGTCATAGCATACACTTTTTAGGAGGAGAAGTACTTTCTGTTTGCCTGTCAGTATGATTTGAGCAGCAGCAATTGGGCAGAACCACCATAGTAAGTACTCTGGGGAGTTATATAAAAATTAGAAAAGCTTCTGTCTTTACTGGAGAAATTTATGGCCGAGATGACAAGAATACAAGGACAAAAGTTTACAGAGGAAAAAAAAGTTAAGGATTGTTAGTGCACTGGAAATGTGTGCAAACAGAGCAGGCTTCTTAGAAGATGTCTTGGTTGAAAAAACCTTTCTTTGCTGTGTTTTTTAGTCCTTTGAAATATTTTTTAATTTCATGACATCATTTCTGTGCATGGTTTAAAGTAAGATTTTAAATCAACAGTCTTGAGCGTGAATCTTGGGCCCACCAAATACAGTAGAGTTGTGTGATTTCATGTGTGTGCTGGTGTTAACATTGCTTAGATTGAGACCCACAATCACAACACAATGTTCATGACAAAACATTTTACTAATCTAATAGCTGATTGACCCTTTCACCTATTTTCCTGATCCTACACACACATACACACCAATTCATCTCTGATGTCATCCGTATTTTCCAGTGCTGTCTTTATGACTCTATGCCTTTGGTCTTACTGTAGTCAGGTATAATAAAATTAGCAGAATATGAGTTCTTTGAGGGTACTAATTCAACCTTTTTACCATGTATCCCCAGTACCTAGAATACTGCCTAGAACAGAGTAGGGTTGAATATATATATATGTTGACTTACCTTGAATGAGAAAACCTAGGATGAATGCTGAGGCTTGTTCTTAGTTCACTGTCAAGCTTTTATCTTTTCTGAGAACTTAGAACATCAGAATTTAGAGTAAGAGTTGACTTTCCTCTTGGTAAAATAAGGGACTGGGGCAAAACAAAGTTGTCCAAGGCATTTTGCAGCTTAATTAGCAGAAAACAATTCCTTTCTCTGTAAAATATTATTGCTTACTCTTCCTTTGTATTAATGTTTCAGCCATCATTGGACTGTAAGTTCCCGGGATTCTGGGATTTTGCCTGAACATGGGTTGTATTTCCTGTAGCACCTGCCTAGTGTCTTAAATATATGACACTCTGAATTTTTTGGTGAGTGTTTGGATAGACAGCGGAGCTTGTCCATGTTGCAAAAAATGCCTCAAGCCACACAAGCAACTTTGTCAGCCACTTTGCTGGAGCTTGTCATTTCTTAATGTCTCACCCAGGGCATTGGGTCCAGGCCAGGGGCTCCTCTCAGCTCCCATAGATATTACAATCTTGCGTTTTCTTTATCCTTCTTACTCTTTAGCCTATAGCAAGGAGGGAAGCAAGGGTAAGATTCTCCTACTGTTCTTCAACATCTACAGAAAAGACTTTTATGGTAAAGAGGTGGGGGAGGGTCTTAATTTCCCATCCCTGAGGCAGAAGGAAACCAGGTAGAGAGGAGGCTGGGAATAGAGACAAGGACAAGATAGGGGTGCTTCCCAGCAACACTGGGGCTGGGTTCCTTTTATCTTTTTTGGATAAGCCATGAATTATCAAAATGTCTACAGGCATCACTAGCCAGATTTGCTTATTGACTTGGATAATTAAAAGCAGCTGCCAACAACAAATTTGTATTCAAATTTGGTAGTCTTCAGGTGAAAATAGTCTTGTTGTTAAAGTTAATAAGTGTGAATGCGTGTTTATCTATGAAGCTGCAGAGAATGGTTTCATAACCTAGGACGTTGGGGGTTGGAAGACGGGAGGAGAAGGTGGTACCAAATCACCATCTGTGTGACTGCTATAGACTACTATGGTCAACTCGGTTGCTGTGTACGGTTCCCCCAAACAGGCCTAGTCCTGTGTGGGTACAGATTCTCAGACCTCTACCCCGAGATGCTGATTCAGGAGTTGTTAACAAGCCCCCGCCAGGTGATTCTTATGCCGGGGTAAATGTGAGAAGCCTGCTGTGTGCCTTTCCTAGGTATCTGAAGAGTCTAGTTTCCAGCAGTAATGTTAGTGAGCTTGTGGCTCAGGGAGGCCAGGGCAGCAACGGTGCAGCGCAGCTACATGTCACAGGGAGTGCCTCATCTGCTGGGAAATAGGAGCTTGCTATTTTTTCCCTGCTGACATTTGCCACTGTGCACCATGTCGTTTGAAGATAGAAAAAGTAGGTGACTTTCACATAAATTATTTGATGACTACATCAGAAACTTCCGGCAACATGGAACAAGTTCCTCCATGATATCTATCCCTCTGGCCCCAAACTTTAGATTAAGATTTGGCCATGCCAACTTCTAGGGCTGTGCGATGCTGAAGTACCTCAGTCACTAATTAGTTAATTAATTATTAATAATTAATAGCCAATATTTATTAAGTGTTACTGTGTCCCAGGACTTTGCTAAGCTGGTAAATTGTGACACTTAAGCTTCACAAGCTCTCAGAGATGTAGCAGTTATTCTTATATTTATGATGAGATGGGCAATGGAAGCACAAGAAGTTAACCAACTTGACTGAGATTTTACAGCTAGCCAGAGTGGTGGTTATCTAGTTCCTAAGCCTTACTTTTCTGTTACCCTTTACTGTCTGCTGAGGAGTCTCCAATGTTTGAGTTGTGAGGGCCCCTGGGAGTCATCTTAATTGTTTGTCTTATACAGAGCACACTTCTGTTTCTCTTGTTGTTGATAATAATGATGTCTTATATTGGTCTATATTTTATAATTTACACAGTACTTTGAAAGGTAAAATTCTGTGTGGTCCTCACAACATTCCTTAGAGGCAAGTTTGCTTCCATTTTGTAAATGAGAAAGCTGTAGGTATATCTTTTTAAAAAAATATTTTATTTTAAAGATTACCCTAGTACAATTCAGGATTAGGGCAGATATATCCTTCATTTTATTCTTTTTTTTCTTTTTATTTATTTATGCTTTTTGGGGTTGATACACATGGCCCCAAATTTAATCCTACCCATTTCACAGCTGAGAAAACTGAGAATCAGATTGGGTCAGGCAATTTGCCCAATATCACACAGAGGTGGTAAATTGAGACCCAGGATTCAACACTCAGTACAGCTCCATTCCAAAGCTCTTGCCATGTCATGTGACTATACAGTGTTTTCCTGAGTTCTGCCATGATCAAGGATGCTATTATTCACAGAGGTGTAAGAATAGCATTCTCTTCCTTTTTCTTAGGAAAAAGATAATTCTTTTAGTGACAGCTAAACCTACACATTTGGACTGTTGATGCATTTTAAAAAAAACACAAAACAGAAAAAACGAGATAGTGTCTTGCTGTGTTGCCCAGGCTGGAGTGCAGTGGCTATTCACAGGCATGGTCATAACTTGTAGCGGCCTTGAACACCTGGGTTTAAGCGATCATCTCAAGTAGCTAGGAATACAAGGGCTAAATAACTTTCCTGGCTTTTTTTTTTCTAATGGGAGTAGGTAGAGGTGGTGAGAAGAGACTTGCCAAAACAGTAGTTTCATTATTTTAGCTATAGGAATAAGTTGCTACAATCTTTCAAAATACCAGACATTTGACTGATCAAAGTAGGACTTTGCAATGACAATCAGGGCTGGAAGCTAGCTCTGCTGATGCCCATCTTGTGGTTTTCCCACTGCTCTGTATCTCTGTCTTCCAGGGGAGCTATCATTAGTTCTGAGTCTGTAGTTTTCACTGTAGGATTGTGAAAATGGAATGAGATAACCTAGAGCAGGCCCTGACTCCCAATAACTGTCTCCTCAGTCAAACAAATTTGTGTTAGGAGTAGGTTTTTCTTCCATTTCAGCCAAAGGTGCTTGAGACTTTTTTCTCTTTTTTGGAGCTACTCATATAAACGTTTGATGACTGTTCTTCATTTGTGTCTTTTCACTGTTGTGGGATTGAGTCCTTGGATGACTGTGTTGGATTGAGGCTATCTATCATTGTTAATGTCACCTCCTTGGTCACCCTAAGTAGGTCCCTACCAAATTCCCCATTATTCTTGATCATAGGTCCTCATGTATTACATTATCCTGTCCTTGTGAGTTTCATTTGAAGCATTGACAACAGGTGGTACTGACACATTTATTTGCTTATTTGCTTATGTTATAGCCAAAGTGTGAGAAAGAAGTCGCCAACATGCAGAAAGTCAAATTTGAGTCCTTTATTAGCCCATGGTTGGGAGCAGGGTAGTGCCATAAAGAACTCTCAACCCCGAACAGAGTGAGCAGGGGGTTTATGAAGGCAAAAACCACAAAAGCTTTTCAGTTGTGATTACATTTTTGGCAGAACCTTTGGTTGTGAAAGGGTACAGAGAGCTACGGAATTTGCAATTAGGGAGTTTCCAAGCACTGAGGGGAACAAGAATGTGGGCTTGTGACGACGGGAAGGTTATGCAGGGGGGTCATCTCTGGGTATGAGCAGCTAAAATGGAGAATCTGTTACAAAATGGAGTTACTTATGTTAAGCAAGCTATTGCACTCGAAGTCCCCTATCTACCCCATTAGACTGTAAGCTCTAGATTGTGAGAGAATGTATTTACTTGGTGTTTATCTAGCACATAGCACAGTACCTGGCACCATAATTGGTCCCAAAGATACCAGTGGAATAAATAGTTTTTACCAATATAATGACATATTTTTAGCTTTTTGTGGTTGTCAGTTTGCTTCTAGTTTTCTCTGTTTAGCTGCTTTCTTTGATTTCTAACCATAAGCAAGACAGACTCTAAGGAAAGACCAATACCTCATGTTCCAGTGCTGTAGCCATGAATCCTGTAGGCTTTTCCTTTAAGAATGGAACTTGGAGTTGATAGGAGACAGTGGTGGTTCTAGAATGTACTGCTGGTTGTGAACTACTAGAATACATAACAGCTTCATGTAAATCCCAGGCACTAGTATTTTAATAATGATTTATAATCACATCAAAGCACTTTTTTTTTTTTTGGATTATAGAAACTTTCTCTTTAATCAAGGCTTATAATATGGAACAGATTTCTTGAATAAAATGAAAAGTTTCCAATACATTGAAACAACCCGCAAGTCACCATATGTACAACATCCAACAGAAAAAAACAAGACAGCAAGTTTACACGATCCTCGTAACAGCCACAGTCTTAATCTCAGATGCTTCCTCCTTCTGTCAAGTGTGTTCTGGATATAGAGTACACCGTGGCTTCAGGGGCCACATTCAATTGAGACTGTGGCCACATGACTTTCATCTGGTTGGGCTGTGATGGCGCTGGTTCTACTCAAGAAGTAAGGCAGTTACCAGCACAATCAGACAGTGCACTGAGCATCTTTTAAACATCAAAGTGAGAAGAAGGAGCATAATAATGTTATCAGAGGGATGTTAGAAAGTAAGAACAGCTGTATCATGCTTGAGGCTGAAAAGTGGCTCACCAACTTAATTTCTTTGGCTTCCTGGGCAGTGGACACCAAAATGGCAAAGTGTGAAGTTCTGGTTCATGCTTTATGTAATGGACTCATCCCTGACTCTGCTGAATACCAGGATTCCTCCATTCAGGTTCAGACATCAAATGGGTTTTAGGGATCAGTTTGGCGATGTCCTTGGGCAACATGAATTGCCTGATTCTAACTCCTCGTTCATTGTATTTGTCTGAATAGTAAATCTGTTTGTGTGACTTGACTGTGCTGCTTGCGGATCTTTAACTCCGCACCACCAACCTCCAAATAACTCCTAGCAGCATGCCACATCCAGCACTTTATTAAAATGAACTAATTAGTCATTATTTTGGACCTCATCTGTCATTGCTTTATTTTGAAAATTTATTTCCCTTCTTTTGGTGGGCCAAAAAAGGTCCTGTGTGATCATGAAGATCCTCTTTCTGGATATATCATTTCTTGTGAAATCTTAATTTTGCCTGGAGGTTCTTAATTTTCAAACCAGACCACACCTTGCTTAATGTACAGGGGCTGGAACCACTGGGGAGTATTTATAGTCAATACTTTCTGCAGTTTGACTTTATTCCCTAAGTAATTGGAAGACTGGAAAGTATCTGCTAAGTTGATTTAATAATTCCTGTCCTTGTTTGGCCTATGATGCCAGCTGCGTTCTGGAAGTATCCATATCTACATTACCCCAAAATGTCTGATATATTGCCTATTATAAGTTCCTGGTCAGAACTTCTTGAATGAATAAATAGTATAACACTAGTATTCTTGTTTATTATTAAGCCTATTTAGCTTTAAGTTAAACATATTCACATTTATTTATCCAACAGCAATAGTACATTTAAAAAAAAATTAACACTCTTGTTACTTTGTAGCCTATTTAGATATCTAGTTAGATCACCAACCAAGGATACAACTCTTTTTTTTTTTTTTGAGTTGGAGTCTCACTCTGTCACCCACACTGGAGTGCAGTGGCCGCTCCCGGCCACTGCAGCCTCGACCTGCTGGACTCTGGCGATCCTTCTGCCTCAGCCTTCCGCGTAGCTGGAACTACAGGCACATGCTACCCTACCTGGCTACTTTTTTGATTTATTGTAGAGATGAGGGCTCGCCAAGTTGTCCAGGTGGGTCTCGATCCTGTGGGCTCAGCAATCCACTCACCTCAGCCTCCCAAAGGCACGAGATTACAGGCTGAGCCACCGAGCCCGGCTGGATACAACTCTTGACAGTACATTTTGTCACTTTATATGAAATATCTGAGAGAAGGGGCTTATTAGATACACCCTTATATGTTGTGTTTTTATTAAATCAACTGGTCATCCAGTTAGCTTGACATGGAAGCAACTTGGAAACATCACTGTACTAGTGTTTCATCTGCTAGTGGCTCTAGTTTCTTTTTCATTTGGAGAGCAATTTTTTTTTTTTGAGTTGGAGTCTCACTCTGTCACCCAGGCTGGAGTACAGTGGCACGCTCACAGCCACCCCAGCGTTGACCCACCGGGCTCCTGCGATCTTTCTGCCTCGGCCTTCCAAGTAGCCGGAACTACAGGTGCATGCTACCGTGCCTGGCTGATTTTTGTTTTATTGTAGAGACGGGGTCTTACCAAGTTGCCCCTGCTGGTCTCGAGCCCCTGGGCTCAGGTAATCCACTCACCTCGGCCTTCCAAAGTGCTGAGATTACAGGCTGAGCCACTGAGCCTGGCCTGGAGAGCATTTTTTTATAGCCCATACCAAAGAAGAAGGGCGCCTGAAAGGACAGTCACAGTGTCAGGTTGACATGTAGTGGGCGAAAGTACATAGGCCCTCAATTTGCTTTGTATTTCCTCTGTTTTGGATTTTAAGGAAAGAACCTCACTTAAGAAAACTCAAATTGAAAAGAGCTTATTTTAAGGATAGAAGGATGGGTATTGGGGTTCCAACTACAGTACTTTCTCCCACTGCATGTCAACATCACATTGTGACTGTCCTTTCAGGGAAACTTCTTCTTTGAAACTGGCTATAAAAAATGTTCTCCAAAGAAAAAAGAAATTAGAGCCACTAGCGGATGAAACACTAGTGCAGTGATACGTTTCCAAGTTGCTTCTTAAGGATTGAAGGATGGGTATTGGGGGTTCCAAGTGCAGGTAGCAGAGTTGTTCCTCAGAGGAATAGGAAAATCATCAAGCAGCTGATGTCGCCCCTCCATCTGGGTGTCATGACCAATGCCTCAGCTTCCCTATGTTCATCTGCTTCATTATTCCTTGACAGACAGGCGTTTCTGCTCTGTCACTTCTGCAGTCCCACGTAACCTCCTGTAATACTCAACTCAGCCTCAAATGACTGCCTGATCTGGTCTCAGTATTTTCGATTCAAATTTCCCAAGAGTCTGATCTGTCTAGCTCGGAGCAGGTGTCTGTCCTTTGTTCGGTCAACTCTGGGTAGGGTTTGGGGCATCTGGTACTCGTATGGCCACCCAGGGCTACCCAGACCCATGCCCCCAGAAGGTGGGGTGGATGCAGATTCTCTCTGAAATATATGAGAGCAGAGAGGCAAAGGTCATCATAGTCAGTTTTCTCTTTTAAGGTAGGTTGATCATCATCAAATGTCCTTGATCCTTTTAGTACTTTCGGATCTTTGACAATTTATACTTGAAATAGGATGCTACAGGTTACACAGAATATTCATATATAGTACCTCACTTAATCCTCGGAGGATTGCTCTAGGATCTATATCCTTATCCTGATAGAGTAGACAAGGTAGTAGGCTCAGATGTGTGAGGGGGACTCTCTCAGGACACCACCACTCCAGGTGGCAGAGATGGGACTCGGGTTCCCTGATTATTCTACAGCTCCATAGAACTCTCTAATCCAGATTCATATACATACAGTCGAACAGGCAGATCACTAGATGTTGTTTTTTAAATTGATCTTGCAGCTAATTATAGGTAATTTTTGAAGAAAAAAAAAAGATATTAGAACTCTACCAGGTGAACTCTAGGTCCCACTCTGATGAGCCACGGGGCCATTTTGATTGCTTAATGCCAGAACCTTACTTGCGATTACATTTGAAATACAACTCCTGATTTAAGGTTTGTTTTTCTCCCCTCTCTTCTTGGAATTTTCATTTTATCTATCTGCTGACTGTTTTGTATGCTTGATCCCTGAACAAAGAGGGGTTTAGGGAGACTAACCCCCTGGACGGTTCAAAATCCACGTATAACTTGACTCTCCCACAACTTAACTACTAATAGCCACTATTGACCAGAAGCCTTACTAATAATGTAAGTGTTGATTGACATTTATTTTTTTGTTATGTGTGTATATGTAACATTCATATAATAAAGTAAGTCACAGAAAAGAAAACATTTAAAACATATAAGGAAGGAAAATCTATTTACTATTCATTTTGTGGAAGTGGATTGTCATAAAGGTCTTCAGTCTGATTATCTTCACATTGAGTAGACTGAGGAGGAAGAGGAAGAAGGTGGAGGGAGTGTTCTTGCTGTCCTGGGAGGGACAGTGATGGAAGAGGAAGAGGATGTGGAAGGGGAGGCAGGAGAGGCAGACACACTCAGTGTAATTTTTATTGAAGAAAAGTCCATGGATAAATGGACCCGCACAGTTTATACCCGTGTTGTTTAAGGGTCAACTGTTTATACTTAAGGCTATTTTAAATTCTTTATTGATTGTTTCTTACTACCACCTGAGATGATGCTCTACGTAAGAATGTCAGTTAAAAAACAGATACCTGTTACCTTTTCCGTGAATGCTATGCACTAGTTTTAAAAACTATTAAAAGACACTAGTTTTAAAAACTATTAAAAGACTATTAATATTTCAGAGTATGTGGAAGGTAAACGTGAGGTATATTTAGGGAGAGGTTGGCATGTTATCAACTTGAAACCATTTGACTTTCAAATTTGGACCCATGTTTTATGAGTCTCTGTTTTTCCTACTCAACAGTATCTCCCTATTCTAGCCAAACTTCCCTCATCTTCAGACTTATCCCTCTTCAACTTGTACTTATTTTGAGTCTCATTTCCTCGATAAAGTCTCCCTGGTTCCTTCCACCAACCTAGAGTGAACTGGTCTAAACTCCCATAGATGGTAACACCATCAGAACAAATAGTTAATTACATGCAAAGTAGAATCTTGACTACTAGTAAGATTTTTATGTTTAAAGTAAGGGCTTTGGGGATAATGGCCATATCTTATTATCTTTGTTTTCACCATAGCTATTCCCACTTAGATGTATCTTTATTCATTTATTGAGCAATATTGAGTGCAGCCTGTGGATCAATCACTGTTTTAGATGCTAGAAACACAAAGATGAAAGAGTTACTCTCTTCAACTATTACTAATAATTTCATGAGGAAGGTCAACACATATAGGTGTGAAGAAAAGCACCAATTTAATGTATATACCCCCCTTTTAAAATTTTTTTCTTTTGTTTTTTGTCCAAAGACCCATTCATACTAGAAAATAAAAATGTGTATATACCTCTTGAAACAAATTCATATTTCTCTGTCAATTCTTCATTTCTTTGCTTATGAATTGAGACACAGTTATTGTTTTGAACATTAAGATTATTCATGATTTGATCATTCCTTAGTGCAGGTTTTCAATGAAAATAAGTATGAGTAATGTACATTATGGAAAATAATGTTCTTATTGTATTGTTTCTATTTTTAGTTTATCTTAGGTGAATTTCCTGGGTCTCTCACAGTATATAGTCCACTATTACTACTGTATCTCAGCTCTTCCTGCAACTCTGAATCCTGCTTACCTGACATCTATATGACATCTTACCTAGTATCTATATAATCCAAATTATAACGCAGAAGTAGTTTTCTTATACCATAGATAGTAATATTGTTACTTAAAATTTTATTCCCGGAAGGACAGTTTTTTCAGATTGTCAGAAATTTTTGAAAGAATCATCCTCCCATTAAATGAAGCAACTGAGAATGTCAAAAGCCAGGAAATTATTGATAGCATCCCAGGCCAGCAGCAAAATCATTTTCCTTCCACTGCAATGAATAATTGATTTTGCTTAAGAATTTTCTTTTCTCCTGCGGCGAGATCTTTTTTCTATTTCCTCAGTGTGAAAATAACCTCTGGCATATACATCATGACACTTTCCCACTTGGTGGTATCTGTAACATTTAAAACCAGTAGGGTTTTTTCACTAATTGGATGAATATTTTCTGTCAGGATTTTTGATTCCTCAGTTTAAAAAAATCTGCCAAGGATTATTTGCATTTCTTGATGCAGAGGGCAAAAAACAGCTCAAGATATGAGAGAGTGTTGGTTTTCAGTGACTGCACTAAGATCATTGATGTAAAACTATGCTATTCAACTGTGGTTTTATACGTTTTGTTTTTGTTTTATTTACTTTTCTGACTTTGGGAGATGAAGATGACCTTTTTCTACACAGGATACCATCAGGACTGATGTCTGCATGTTATACTTTGTTTTTATTAATTTTTGTGAGCTCGGGGTCTCAATTTGTTGCCCAGGCTGGTCTCAAGTTCCTGGCTGCAAGCGATTTCCTGCCTCAGCATCCCAAAGTGATTACAAAGGGATTACAATTGTGAGCCATGGTGCCTGGCCTACACTTTTTTTTTTTAATTGATAGAAAGATGAACATTCTTGAAAACCTGTGACATGAATCTTTTGTCCAGGAAAGGTGATTTCCCTGAGTGTGACCCATAGTGAGGAAGGGCACCCTTTGCTCTGTGGAGAGCTGCTAACGTTTCCAAAACCTAGATAATGCCATGATGACTATTTCAATCTTGACTCAGTGTTTACATTGGGATTTGTAACCTTTAAGTGTTTCTGAAATCCTTTCATTATCAAGAACATTTGAATCTCTCTTTAGAAAGGAAAATAGTCTGCATAGTGCTCAATTTGAAAAGTCTTCATCATAAAAGATAAAACAGGACAAAACTTTCTCCACTGTCCTGTTGGCAGTGTGTAAAGAGTAGGGGAAATGGTAGATAAAAAGCAGGCACACCCTCTGGTACCGGGAGGATTGGGTTTATCCCGTCAGTAGTCTGTGGGGAGTTGCGATCTTGTCTCTGAATGAATGTGCATTATGAAAGACTGGAGGCCATGGGTGGTCCTCTGAAAATGCTGTGAAAATAATATTCTGAGACACATGAAGAGCTATTTGCATAAAATATCTCTTGTATTAAAGATACCCTCTATAAGATGCATTATGTATTTATCTCTAGCTGCTAATAGCTTTTATTATACAATTCTGAAATGAAACTTTATTAGTAGGGCAAGGCAAGGATGTAATACTTCTATTTTTCTGCCACAGCAATTAATTTATAACCTTGTGGAATTAACAGAAAAATATATTAATTTGGATCTTCCTTTTCTGTTCTTTAGTCTGATTCCTTTTCTTGTCATATTTCCTTTTTAATTCCTTCATGGCTATAAGTTTTAGCCATAGTGATAAAATACCCATTCCAGACTTGTTTCCCAACATCCTCGCTAACAAATTGAGGGTAGGAATGAGACAGGATAAGGTTTAAACAATTTTAATCATTTCTATTTGAATTAAAATCAACTCATGAATGTACATGTTTAATTTCTTGCCAGTGTTCAGGTGGCATCCAGAACAGTCAATAGCAAATGGAATAGGAATAAAAAATATAAAATTATAAGACACAGAAGATGACTAGGTCCGGTGAGTGCAATTTTCTCCCTTTTAGAGAAAAATCTTCTCACTCAGTAGAAGCATATCTCACATTTCCTTATACACCAAAGATAGTCAGATGGAAGCAGGTGCCCCAAAGGATGTCTTATGGTATGAAGACCGGGCTGGAATTCCAGTACTTTGGCCTTCTCTTACTATATCTGTAAGTCTTTGTTTTCTTATCTGTAAGAGAGGAATCCTTCTGCCTTTCTAAGAGGATATTTACGAAAGTAAAATCAGCTGGTAATATGTGAAAATCCTTAGCATTGCACTTGGCACATGGTAGTTAACCAATGACTATTGAATTGGATCCATATATGATTGACCCCGATGATAAGGTTATTAGTGGAGGGGAAAAAAATACGCACATGTGCCAGAACATCCAAAATAATACTTGTTCTTCAGAGTCTTCATTCTAGAAAGTACAATGTGTATTCAAGAGCTAGTTTTCAGCTTATGTAGATATATATGAAAGCTCTGTCTACCAATCACTTACCCACCTACTTATCTATGGGATAACCTTGATGAATGCAAGGGAATGTAAGGGAAGATTTGACTTTTGAAAATAAGTCATTTGATACTAGGACTACTTCCAATAAATAATATTGATTTTAGTAGGAAACAAAATGTTACCCTGAAATCATGAGATTATTGCCTTAAGGAATGTATATATTGCCTGAGGATAGTTCTAAAAAGGGTCCAAAAGGTAGTTAGAGAAATAGCCTTACGACTGCAGAGTGAGCACACAGCTTCCAGGTGGAGATGCTTTGAAAGGAGTTCAGATACCATTGAGAAAGGAGGTTCTGCTCTATATATTTGTTATCTTATATATTATTTTGTATACTAGGTATCAATCCTCTCTACAATTCTTGAAGAAACCTTTGTGAGGTCAGTTTTATAGAACTGGTCTAAGGACAAATGGTGATTTGATACTTCCAAACTGTGATCTGTTGAAGCACTTTATTTCTAGCAAGCACCTATTGTTAATAGTTTATTCTAAGGGGAATGATATTCTCTGTCTTGCAGAAAACAGCTCTAAAACTGCACTATTGTCATTTTGATATTTTTTGAAGAGCACAATTACAGACTCTTCCTCAGATTTTCAGTAACATGTCAAAATCAATCTCATGAGAGAAAGAGTTTGATGTCTTGCAACGTGAATCTGTGAGATCTGAGTTGGTGATAATAAAAAAATACATATTTTTATTCTAGCTTTGTCACTTCTGGCAATATGGCTTTAAGCAAGTTTCTTAACTTCCCTGTGTCTTAACTTCATCATTTACAAAAATGAGGATAATGCTAGTTCATGTCTCAAAGAATTGTTTGAAATACCAAATGAATTTATACATGTAGAATCCCTTGGCACTTGACACATAATAAGAGCTCAAACATATTAGCCGTTTTTATGGTTTTAGAAACAGATATAGATACAGAGAAGGTTCATTGATGTTTCTTTTTCTTTCTTTTTTTGCTAGTTCTTGTCCCTGATGTGTCAATATTTTGGATATTTCCCATGCTTCAAGACAAGAAGAATGTTCATGCTAACACACAGTTCTCAGAATTTGCACACTAAAGTGTATAAGGGCAAAATACTTCAGGGTAGCAAGCAGTGATGGTGTTTGCTGCTCTATTTATGGCTGTTTTAGCTGTCAGTTGCCTAGGAGATCATTGGCAAAATCCCAGCAATAACTAACACCGTTTATCCTGTAAAGAAAGAGCTGAAACTGATCTAGTGACAATCATTAGATACTTCCTGGGAAAACATGCTCAACATCTTGAGAGTTCTAGTTCCATCACAGGTTTTATTGTCACATCTGTACTTTGACGAACTGTGAAGAGAAATTGTTTATCAGCTCACTATAAACAAAATATTCCACTTCTGCATCCAAGTAACTTGTTCCTGTCAAAGAATTCATAGTTTGTAGACAGGAGAAGAAAACTTCTGTTTTCAAACAGTGTTATTAAAGGCCACAGGGTTATATTTGTCTTTTTCTTTATCACATAATCTGCTTTAAGTCAAAGCTAATTAGTCACAATGTGAAGCGATAATTGTGCCTTCATGATTAGAGAGATTTAAACCTTTGCTTTTCCTTTTGCAGGTAAGTGAACCCGGCATTGGGCATTGTTCATTATGCTTCCTGTCTGACTCTTACTCATGTCGCCATTTTATGGACTAAAACTCAATAAGGCAGTTCAAAAATACTGATATGCATGTACCGTGGATGCTGTTGAAGCGTGTGTTCTAAGAGCGATGGTAAGTGCTGGTTTTCCATTTTAACCATTCCTCGTGGTATCAGGCTAGGCCTGTCTCTACTCCCTGGCCCCTCAAAAGTTGCTCTCTTGGTTTAGTAAACATCTCTAGTTGGCACAACTTAAATAGTGGAAAATGAGATTCATTTTGCAGGCTGTTGGATGTGCTTTGGAGGATAATTTTTACCAAAAGCCTGAAATCACTTGGTATTGTTGATATTTTTATTGCATCTGCATCATAACATTTCACATCTGGCCATTAGGAATGAAACTTAGCATATCACCATACTACAGTGACGCAATTGTCACATAGTCTTTGTAGCTTAGAGAAGAGAAAACTCTTAGCTGAAAGAGAATGGTCTGCAGTCGTACTCAAGTAAAACATCCTAAATTAATAGTTGCCTAAAAAGTAGAGTATTATTAGACCCCTTTTTATTTTTAAATTCACAGTTCTAATCAAAGAAGTATAATTGGAGTTTCCTTTTTAAATATTTAAAGGTATGTAGATGTTCAGACATTAGACCTATATTTAGAAAGGAATAAAAGTATTTTAAGCGAATGTGAATTCTTGTTCAATTCACTATTGAAAAAATACATTGTCATTAAAGACTTTTTAAAGTATTAAGTAGTTTTCAAAAAAATATTATTAGGATTGCTATAGCTAAATTCTTTAAATATCTTCATTATTGTTAATTCTTTAGGAGTTAAAATCTAGTGACGTTTGGCGTTCTTTTAAAAAATTGAAGTCTAATTTACTAATTGGTTCTTTCTTCATGTTGAGAATAATTACTACTTCTTCACTCTGAATAATTAAATATGAAGGAAATTTACATTTAAATATAAATTCTTGGTGGTTTTCTTCTTTTTATTATTATTATTGGAAACTAGATAGTGCATAAAAGTATTTGCTGAAATATGCCTAAATGTGTTTACAGGTTGACATACTTAGACAGCACTTGGATTCATTGGTTTCCTATTTATTATTGTTTCATTGGGATAAGTATAGAAATCTTGTCATTACCTATAGAAATTTTACACTAGAGCAGTTCAACTCCCCAAAGCACTAAGTTTCTATATCTGATGTTTTTAAACAGTCCATTTCTTTTTTTTAAAGTTGATATGTGATAACTGTACATATTTCAGGGGAACAATGTGGTGTTTTCAATATGCACTGATAAAATCAAATTACTTAGCATGTATACTGCCATAAGCATTTATAATTTCTCCCAACAGCCCATTTGAAAATGGATGGACTGGATGGATATGCAAATAAATGCTGTTTTATCATGGTGTTTATTTTTCACAAGAAATCGTTTATCATTCACATTTCACAAGTGGGGATGACTATGAATGAGAAATAAATAAAATATTATTTTCCCACTATTATTTGCAAAGTAACTACTTTTACTACTAATGTGAAAATGTCCTTTTTAAAACATTGGACATAAAAATAGAACTTTCAAAATGACGCTTTGAGGGAATTGGACTATGAGTCTCAGACTACGAAACCATTACTTCACTTCCTCGAGACTCTTAAATAGTGTTTGTTCTAGATAACTCATCTGAAATAAAAATCTCAATCAACATCATGCCTTTACCCAATACACATCATGATTATTAGTTCCTAATAGTGTGACTTTTCCTGAGATGTTCTTAGTCACACAAGTTTTAAATTTTGATTAGAAGCAAGACCATGTCTGCATCACTGACCTATGGCAATGCAAGGTGTTTAATCTTGGGAAAACCAAGGGTTCTTTAGAAACCTCCGAAGAACTTAGAGATCACTTAAAATACCCAGAGAATTATGTTTATGTTTGGAGTATACAGTTCACCTTGTATCATCTTCTTAAGTTCTAAAAGTTTAGAAAGACGTGTCAGCTATATTTTTCTTTTTAATAAAAGTTCAGAAACAGCCAAAGTTGTTATTCCTGGGTGTGGTTCCTAGGGCCACTGTGGAAATTTCCTTGAGTGATTTTTGTTTGCAATATGTGTCCTTTGCACACATATTGTCCTTTAATGGGAGCTGATGGCAACAGAGCTGCTACCCTTGTAAAAGCAGAGTCATTTTGGTAGTTTTTATAGAAGGACAGTACTTTTAAAAATTACTAAAATAAAGCAACTGGATGGGAAGGAAATAGTTGTATTTGCATATTTTCCAGCATCAGTGAGCACTCTCTCCAGTTTTATTGTCTGCGTTTGGAAAAATGAATCACCCTTTCTCTTTTTTTTCTTCTTCTGTGCTCTTTTGAGATAATAGGTTTTGGAGGTTTACTATGGGTAAACAGTTACTGAATTGGGTAAAGACACTTGATCCAGGTGGCAGTAGAAGCAGGTTGTTTTTGAGAGTTGGCTAAACAGATTTGAACCTATCCCCACACAGCAATATTCATTTCTACTGTGTAAACCATGATAGGTTGCTTGATCTGTTTGAGATGGCAATGCATTTTTTTACTACACTTGGAATATACAGATTTGAGGTTTTGTGACATCGAAAGAAGATAAAGCTTTTTCTAAAATTTTTTACTCATTTCAGAGTTTTCTAATATAGATATTATCTACAACCATACTACCCTGAATGTGCTCATCATATCTAATATAGGTGCTGAAAATTTGGGGTTCTAAAAGAAACTGGTATATTGTAAGTGAGTTGGAGTGGGGAGGAATTATGACTTGGAATGTTCCTTATATCTCTGGATCCTGCCTCTGCCTAAAGGATTTTGTAACAAAAGGAATTCAACATTTTGAATAGCTTTGGAAATGTCAGTAAATGTGAGGTTGAACTCAGAATCTTGATAGGAAAGAACTGAAAGTTCTTTCCCTGATGAAAAATATAGTCTCTTAGAATTTCCAGAAGAACAGCAGCTAATGTTTAGTTTGAACAAAAATTAGCTTTTGGGAATTAAAATATTAAAGACAAAATATATCTTGATGGACTAAATAAGATGAGATTAATATTTAACGTCAAATTTTAGGCAAATGATATAAATGAGTTGCAAGTAAAATGTCAACTCTTTCAAGAACATATATATATCTTATGCTATAATTTTCAGTGATCATGCATTTTGTAATTTATGTTGCTTAAACACATGTATGATAGTTTTGGACATTTAAAATTCTAGGTTCTCTCTATTTAAATACATCTTTTTTTACTATAAAAATCACACATGAAAGTACAGGAAATGACTTAATGGCTCCTGTCATCCCAGATTCAACAGTTATCAACATTTTGCCATAATTGCTATCCTCTCGATGGTTTGGGGGTTGCTGAAAAATTTTGAAATAAATTTTAGATGTAATGGCATTTGCTTTTAAATGCTTTAATTATGCATATCTAAAAAAGAGAACATTTCTTATATAACTATAATAATATTACCACACATAGAAAATTCATAGTCGTCCCTTCATACCCTGTAATACCTAGTCTACTTTTAAATTTAAGAAATTAAAGCTCAAAAATGCCCTCCAGGGCTTGATTGTTAGCATCAGAATTCAGACCCATTTCTACTCATTGCGTTTGTTATGTTTCTCGGGACTTAAATTTTAGAACAATTTCTACTCTTCCCTCTTCCCATCCTTTCTTGTCACTGACTCTTGACACAATCTGGTCAGGTGTCCTATAGAATGTTCTTTATTTTGCATTTATTTGATTTCATCCTAGCTGTATCCATTAACCTGTTCCTCCATCCCCCATACTTCTTGGACACTATGAGTCGAATCCCCAGAATTGATTCTCTTCAGATTTAACATTTTCAACAAGAATACTTTGTAGGTAAAGCTTTGATAGATCCTCTCAGAATCCCAACCACATTTGTTTAGTAACTAACTTCATTTCATTCCACTCTTCAAATGGACTTCTTGCTGCAATATTTAAAAGTAATTATATTCCAGGAAAAAAAAAGCCTTTTCCTGCCCATTAAGTCTCTATTATAATCAAATCCTTCGAGGGAATAGTCAACTTCAATTAATTGATGCATGAAATACCAGAGGCAAAGTGGACCCTTTAATCTCTCTAAATTGGGCCATGCATAAAAAAAGCTGTGCCTACCGTGTCTGTCATAAACTATCAGTGGCCAGTCAGACTGAACCTTCTGCCTTTACACTGCCCTGTGGTGAGCAGGTATCTCTGTGCTGTGGCAAGCTGACTCTTCCTGAGACAAAACTGTCATTAGAATCTTTGATGTCCATCCATGTTTTGCTTCCATCTCCATATTAAAAGCTAATATTTTTAGGTTTTGGATAAAGATTGAATACTCATCACTTATGAGCAAAATAGATCACAGAATCTCTAGGTCTTTTTCTTTTTGCTTTTTTTTTTTCCTTTTGGTTTCAGGGAGAGAGTATACATGCATGCTTGTTATATGGACATATTGTGTAGTGGTGGGGATTGGGTCTCACAAGTGACCCATTCCCCATATTGTGAGCATTGTGCCCCATAGATAATGTCCGAACCCTTACTCCCTCCCCGCCTCCTCCCTTATTGCTGTCCCTACTGTCCCCAGTGTCTATTATTTCCATCTTTGTGAACTTTTAGCTCCCTGATTTGAGTGGGAACATGTGGTGTTTGGTTTTCTGTTTCTGGGTCGGTTTACTCAGGATGTTGATCTCCAGCTCCATCCATGATGCTGCAAAAGACATGATTCCATTCTTTTTTTTATAGCTGTGTAGTATTCCATGGTGTGTGGAGAACAGGAAACACACATCCACTCTTGGTGGGATTATAATCTAGATCATTTTTCAATTTAAAACCATGATATGAAATGACACAGTGTGTCATGACTTTATATAATGTGGCTAATAAAAGGAGAAAATGTGGACTGAATTAGCTAAAAACAATCATAACTTTCACATGTAAATTCAGACTCTTCTGAGCCTATGTGCTCAAGATAAAGCAACTATCAATTCATATAAAATAAATACGGTATATCTGAAAAAATAAATCACAGGAAAAGATGATGATGGGTGTTTGGTTTGCTTACAGAGACCTTGCTATATATATATATTTGGTTCCCCTTATGTTTATGTTTTAACTAAA